CCCATATCGCCCTTCTCGGTCCGGGGGTCCCCACCTGTGATCAGCCCAGCCCGGGGGTCCCCACCCGTGACCGCCCCTCCAGCCCCCGCGATGCTCCGTTGCCCAGTGGGCGTCGAGCTCTGCATCTTGCCTGGCTGTGGCTGTTGGGGGCGCTGGGGGTGGGGGGCCCGGGACCACAATACTGCCAACCCCTCCATCGTAGGCACCCAGGTGTGTAGGGCTGGGGGGTCTTCAGTGAGGCTGGGGGGGCTCAGCCAGCACAGATGGTATCCACCAACATGTTGTCCTCATGGGCCAGTGTTGTGCTGTCAGTTCCTGGTGGCCTTTCCTGGACCTTTTGGCCTCCAAGGCAGGTGGACCCATGCAGCAGGGCTGCACCAGCCCTCCAAGGTGTGAGGAGAAGGAGGGACACATGTCCTAGCACAGGGAGGAGTGTGGCTGGGAGGGAAGAGTGTCCCCAGAGTCACTAAACACCCCAGGAAGCAGCACCAGAAGGTCCCCAGAGCTGTGTCCTCCTGCTGTCCCGGTGACAGCTGCCAGCCTGGCCAGTCCCTGGCGCTGGCTGTTTCCTGGTATGGCTGGAGACTCCCACATCCTCACTGGAGCTGTTCTGGGCTTCCTGCTGCAGCCTCTGCACCAAGCCTGAGCTTTCCCTGCGGAAGCAATGGGGTGCTGGGAGCAGGAAGACATTTTGTGCCCCCTTGGTGGGCTCCTGGTGCACCAGGTCAGGTAGGTATTGCATAAGGTGGAGGGGAAGGAGCAAGGAAAATTTCATCAGGGCTAGAGCAGACTGGTTTGGGCTTTTACTGGGAGATGCTGCCCTGGGAGTGCTGTGGTTTCCCTCTACCCTCAGCCCAAGCCCAGGTCCCTGTCCTGTGCCACCACTCTGGAGAAAGATGTGCTCCGTGCTGAGCCCTATGCTGGCTGAGGAGCGAGGGACACCTGGAATGTGCCACAGTGGCTTTTCCACCCTGTCCCCAGCACCTGATACCTCCCTGCCGAGGGGATGCTCACCTCTTCCTGCCCCTCTGCCAGGTCTCCAGGCAGGGTCTCACCACTGAGGACCTCTAGCTCTGCTGAGGGCAGGGCTCGCTGCCCCCAGGATGGCGAGATGGCTGCCCCGCTCCACCGACCTGACCCGCTTCTGCCAGAAGCTCAACCGGGTGAAGACCCTGGAGGACGACATGATGGAGACATCCTTCAACAGATGCCTTTCCACCATCGACTTGACACTGCTGGGCATCGGGGGCATGGTGGGCTCTGGACTCTATGTCCTCACAGGCACCGTGGCCAAGGAGATCGCTGGCCCTGCTGTTATCGTCTCCTTCATCATCGCTGGCTTCGCCTCACTCCTGGCTGCTCTGTGCTACGCCGAGTTTGGAGCCCGTGTGCCCAAGACAGGCTCTGCCTACATGTTCACCTACGTGTCCGTGGGGGAGATCTGGGCCTTCCTCATCGGCTGGAACGTGCTGCTGGAGTACATGATAGGGCCTGGAGTGGCTACCTGGACTCCATCTTCAACCACAAGATCAAGAACTTCACTGAGACCCATGTGGGTGTCTGGCAGGTGCCGTTCCTGGCCCACTACCCAGACTTCCTGGCAGCTGCCATCCTGCTGGTAGCCACTGCCTTCATCTCCTTCGGGGCCAAAGTGTCCTCCTGGCTCAACCACGTCTTCTCGGCCATCAGCATGGGTGTCATCCTCTTTATCCTCATCATGGGCTTCATCCTTGCACAGCCCAAGAACTGGAGCACCCAGGAGGGTGGCTTTGCCCCATTTGGGCTGTCAGGCATCATGGCTGGCACAGCCACCTGCTTCTATGCCTTCGTGGGCTTCGATGTGATCGCAGCCTCCAGCGAGGAGGCCAGGAACCCACAGAGGGCTATCCCCAGGGCCATCGCTTTCTCCTTGGGGCTGGCCACTGGCGCCTACATCCTGGTGTCAATGGTGCTGACGCTGATGGTGCCCTGGCACACGCTGGACCCTGACTCTGCCCTGGCTGATGCCTTCTACAGGAGGGGCTACTCCTGGGCAGGGTTCCTGGTGGCTGCTGGCTCCATCTGTGGTGAGTACAGGCAGCAGTGGTGGGAGCTACCCACCCTGCTGACCATGGGGACTGGGAACCCCACACCAGTTTGGGTTTGGGTCTGATGGGCTCTTCTTTCTTCTGCCTGTCCCTCAGCGATGAACACAGTACTGCTGAGCAACCTCTTCTCCCTGCCACGCATCGTCTACGCCATGGCTGAGGATGGGCTCTTCTTTCAGGTCTTCTCCCGAGTGCACCCCCGCACACAGGTGCCTGTCATTGGCATTGTGGTCTTTGGGCTGCTCATGGCCCTGATGGCCCTTGTCTTCGACCTGGAGGCCCTGGTGCAGTTCCTGTCCATTGGCACACTGCTGGCCTACACCTTCGTGGCCGCGAGCATCATCGTCCTGCGCTTCCAGCAGCAGAAGGTGGATGTCCCCGCGCCGGCGGCTGGTGGCCGCCCCAACCCTGAGCCCCACGAGGGTCCATCAGGTGGTGAGCTGAAGGAGTATGAGTCCTTTTCTGACAAGCTGCACCTGGTGGACAGGGACAAGAGCAAAGAGCAGCGGGAGCCAGGGCAGCTCAAAGCAGCGTTTGAACCCTACCTGGAGTTCCTCAGCGACTTCTACCCTGGTGAGGTGGTCACGGTGGCCGTGGTGACCCTGATGGTGTCTGCCATCTGCCTCTGCTCCATCTTGGTGTTTGGCAACACCCACCTCCACCTTCCCACCTGGAGCTACTCCCTGCTGCTGGTCCTCTTCAGCCTGGGCTTCCTGCTCAGTCTCTTCCTCATCTGGGCTCATGAGCAGCAGCGCAGCACCCAGACCTTTCAGGTATGCCAGTGGGGCCCAGGCAGGGACAGTCCCTCTGGTGGGGTCGGGGATGTGGGAGCAGCTCTTCTGGACCCACAGCAGTCTGGTGAAAGCACTGCAGCTGCTGAAGGAGGAGGAGGAGGAGAGTGTCTGTGGACACTGGATGTGGGAAGTGTTGGTGCCTGCACTGTCACTCAACCTGGTCACTGGTCCCCAGGAAGGGACATCCCCAGCAGCTCTATGTCCATCCCACAGATCACTCCTGCCCACCCTGGGCTCCCTCTGTATCCCCACAACCCCTCTGCTGCCCTCTTGCCTGTCCCAACTGCTTACTTTGGCAGCCCTTCAGCTATGTGACAGAGCTCATCTTCAGCCTCCAAACCACTTCTGTGCCTCTTGTGCTCCCCCTCTCCTGATCCAGCCCATCTTGGCCCTGGTGTGGTCAGTGCAGCTGCCTGGACAATAATAGCTCTGGTGACACCACCTCCCTGCCATGTCCCTGCCCTGGTTCCTCCAGCCACATTGGCTCTGCATCACACCAGGATCTTGTTTGATCCTCATCACAATGCCCGTGCCCACCCTGCCATCCTGGCTCCCAGCTCCTGGCTACCTTGTTCCTTTTGCCTGCCTTTTCCCACTTCTACAAATCCCAGGGTGACAGTCCTTCGTTCTCCACATTTGCCAGTACTGGCTTTTGTCTCTATGGTGTTAAGGATGGGAGACATTGTCCTGCAGGTCTCACCTCTCACTGGCTCCTTTTCTCCCACAGATCCCCCTGGTACCTCTCTCTCCAGCGCTGAGCATCGTCCTCAACATCTACCTGATGCTGAAGCTCAGCTACATGACGTGGCTCCGCTTCGCAATCTGGCTGCTCCTAGGTGAGTGCTCCCATGGCAGTGTGAGCCCCAGGAGGGGCTGGTCCCC